AATTTTATCCGAAGCTTCTATTTGAGCTTATTCAATTACCATTGAGGAGGCTTCTCGTATTACCCTATCAGATTACCGTTCGATAGAAATATTTCAACAAATAACTTTCTTTTTTTCTTTACAAACGTTAATAATTTGTTAAAGCATTCACGTCTGCGCCAGAAAATCCCATGAACTAATACGGACTCGGTCGATATAAACCCCAGAGATACTAGGAGAAAATAAGGAATCCTCTCATCAATATTTTCTGCTCCTCTCTGCTTGCATTGCTGTCTCCATTTCTAGTTTGGTTCAATTACCGTAAATAAAGATATGTTTTCAAGTTCTTCTCTCGCTCGCCTTTCCTCAAAGTATTGTCTTTGTGTTCGTATTTGAGTCCGTCTGTTTGAAGCTGTTTTTATTCTATGAGTTATATTCGGGTAAGGGAGTGGCGTGTCGTAGTTTTGTTTGTCATTATTGTTTGCACAAATATAAAAATGCTTTTAAGTATTGTTTCATTGTGTTTGTATAATACTTATCGACTTAATTATTTTTTCTGCGTGCAAGGAAGTTTTAGACTTATGAAAGCTCAATATTTATATATTTTTGTATGCAATGCGAGAATGAAAAACGATTTCATCCCGCATATCATTCAAGTTGTATCCACTTCATTTTAAAAATCTTTCCTCTCTCGATTTTTTTTTCTATTGATTTATTTTCGTCGATATTTTCCCTTTCATTTTTAGTACATCACTTCCCTTGACGCTATCATTATTTTCATTTAACAAGCTCTGATATTGTTTTCTTGCATAAACTCTATCGTTCTGTATTGCCGGCTTATTTATTATCATTAATATTGCTCTTTTCCTGTCTCCTCCTCATACTTTGTCTTTCTTTGTCGTTTTGTACATCATTCATCCCCCAATATTAGTTAAATCATCATCCCCTCTGTCCATGTTTTACCCACCATACATGTACTTTTTCTAATTTACGCTTCACTGACCGTCTCTCACATTATTTTGCAGTAATAACTCTCCTTCAAAATTGTAATTTAATATTTCGGAGCTTCGTTACTCGTGTTAAGAAGTAGTATACATTTCGAGACCTGGTTTCCATTAATTTAATAACGTTCTTAGTATAAGATTTGAACTTCAAAAGTGATACTGTTGATTACAAATGTTTCACCTAAAAAGGAAAATTTATTCACCAATTAATCATAATGATGTTTTCCAAGTAAACATAAAAAGTCACCAAAGCAAAATAAAAATAGAAATATGAAACGGCCATTGTACTTTATTCATTATGAACTCAAGATAAAGAGTAAATACAAGAATAAACTAATACACCATGATAATGCAATTCATATTTTTAATGTTAATGTTGAGTTTCCCGTTCGTATTAACAAAGATCAATGCTGCACGGTGCTTTAAGAAATGTCTTTAAAGAAAAAAGTGAAAGCACTTATAATTGGTAAATTAGCATCTCAGGGCTACGTTCACTGATTCAGAAAATTGTCGAAGCAAACACACACATTTCCCTAGACGTTAAAATAGAAACGCGACACGACGACATTAAATAATTGATAGCACGTTACGTCCCAAGAACGTACAGTGTTCTGTGACACAAAGTGCATTTAATATATATATTATAGCTACTGTTTTTATTGCCTACTACTTTCTTCGCACCATTGTATCTTTTTTTCTTCAATTTAACATATTTTTCATCATCCTAGATCATTTACCAGGTTTCTTGCAAGCCTTTAAAAAATTATGTAAAAAAATTAATATGTACAGTGTAGCATTAAGATGAGATTATGAAAGTATGTGTACAATTTCAAATCAAAGGACTCCGTGGCTCTCTGAATATGAGAAAAAATGAAAGCCCTCATTTTTTACACAACTTTTCAACAGTTCACATTTGAAAAGGAAAATGACTATAATTTTGCTAATAATGAATATTCCGCTACCATACCTTAAGAAAAGTTTTAAATTGTGATATTTTACAACATTTTGCCTGATTTACAAGTTTTGACATTTTCACCGTGAGTATTCTCCAACACCTCTTTAAGGCACATGATTCAGTCAAGCTGAAGTGCATTATATTCCAGATGTATGAACACCTAATATCTTGAAGGGATATAGGAAATATTTTCAAAGAGATAATGGTTGCCGCGAAATGATTTCCCTTGGAGTAACTGAGAGAAAAATCCCCTTTTCTGCTTCACCTGATGTAATACATGTTATACAAGTACATTAAAGGATTTCAGCCTTCCAACCGTAATGACAGTATCATTCGCATGCCTTTTCATGCAATGCACGCATGTCTTGTAAAGAGTACTAATGAATAAAAGGGAAAACAATATTTCTATTCATGAAGAGGATGATGATGACGATGATGAAGCAAATCGGATACACTATTTGGTGAATTAAAAACAAAAAGTGCAAGGGTATCTTATCTATATTTATCATGATGATCCGAGATCATTTTGTCAAGAGCATAATACTTTCCTGCGCACTTTTTTCCGAGCAAAACGTCTTTATGTTTCATGACAAAATAATATTCTTTTTTATAACAAACTCCAGTATCCTAGGATTTCAAGTGCTATCTAATTAAACCCACTTCAGCACCAATTTTCTTTATTTCTCTATATTTTTTATCTATCTGTCTCTAACTATTTGTCTCCCTCTTCTTCTGTCCCTGCCCCCCCTCTCTCTCTCTCTCTCTCTCTCTCTCTCTATATATATTTATAAAGAACAGCTACGTCTCACGTTCCTAGACCATTTTCTTCACGCCTACATATTCTGGAACACCCGTTGTCATGTCAGAGTTGAGAATTCTCGCACTTTTATATATATATAATATATATATATATGTATATATATATATATATATATATATATATGTATATATATATATGTATATATATGTATATATATATATATATATGTATATATATGTATATATATATATATGTATATATATGTATATATATATATGTATATATATGTATATATATATATATATGTATATACATATATATATATATATATATATATATATATATATATGTATATAATACATCTATCTCTCTATATCTTTCTCTCCGTCCCTCCCCGCTTCCCTCTTTCACTCTATTAACATTTCTTCTGCATATCTTTATCCTGTCTCATCTCCCTTGTCTTAAAATTCAAAACTCTCTCCAAAATGCGTCGGTCCCTCCGACCTAATTACTGGATTAAATCAAGCTATTCTTTACAACAACCATAAACACCAAGAATGCTTTCATAAAAACAGTATTCTATCGCTTCGAGCAAATCACGCCTACCGCTGACGTAATGTTAAAACAGTGGATAAAATGAACATTACACCTCTATATGCAGGCTTTCTACCCGTATATAACTATCATAAAATTCCATCAGTTAAATTTTAGACAAGCGTGCGGGCGAATTTCAATGCGCGGATCAATAACTTTCCATATTTCGCTGTAAAAAGAGAGTCAAGGAGGTTACAAGTATTCTTCGCAGAAGTAAAGTACAGACAACCAGGATGTTTTGAATAACACATCATCGACAGACGGATGCGAATGTATTCAAATTGCCAGCAAGTGAGTAATTCAATCACACGTTGTAAACAATTACCGACATAAGTTCCAAGAATCTTAAATTGATATAATAACATTGTTATACAAATATTCGTAACCTGTCCCACTTTTCTATTTTGTCCTTGTTACAAAAAAAGTACGTGACGAACGTAAAATGAGGTCCTTGTTTGAACTTTCCTCTCTTAAACCTGTTTGGAGGGAGAAGGGCATTATGGCAGTGGCAAATGATATGAGCGATATGAGCCAATACCCTTCTGGCTCCAGCGCAGTTTCTTTCCATGTTACAAAGACATTGGAAGAATAATGCAGACTGGGTCGGATGAATTTATCGTCCACATCTATTACGTACGGATGTGACATTGATTGCAGTAGGGCGTTACGTCACAGCACTTTCAATAGACTTAAAGTAGATATTCATAGGTTTTAAAAACTAACTTTATTTTCATTATTGCAAAGTTGAAACCTTGATTCGACAAGTTTATCAAAATTCAATGCTTGGAAACATTCGAAGTAATGATTATTATAAATTACAAAACTCTTAAATACAGCCCCGGCATAGCACCTGAAGAGCTCTCCGAACCGCTGCTGAGATGTGTGAAATCACAGTATGAACATGATTTGCACAAGCAGACGATGTCCCATGACATCTCACACATTTTCAGTGCGTGTGTTTTCATCTTCTCTTGAGTTCTTTCTCTTACTTCACTACCGTCAGGCTAAATGTATAATCTATTGCCTCACTCTAAATCCCGCGTATGGTTTTATTTTGATGACAAATGCAGCGATACAAAAATAAAGGAATCTGTCGCTTGTAAATAAAATATAAAGACGCCATTGTATATTCAGCTGCAAACACCGCGGTATGTTCGGCGTTTCAAGAGGAACAAATGCCGTCCTTTAATTCCGGGGGGTTTCAATTTGAAAGTATGGTTTCTTTGATTGTTAATTAACCCCTATCCTGTGTATTTACAAGCAAAATATTTTAGTTATCAGAATCGGGTCATATCCCCTTTTGAATGGTTTGACAAGCCATTACATTTATATACACTAAACTCATTATAATTTTACAAATAATGGCTTTGCAATTATGTTCATTCTTTATGGGATGTCGTCTGCTTGGGCAGTATTGGTCCATATAGTGACGTCATAAAAAACATCGTTATTTTTCCGGCGAATCTCTCGTATATCCCAGCTGCTATGGAGGTGGTTGTATTTGTATTTTTATAAAACACCCGATATGTGGTTGACCTAAAACTTGTACGATGGCCATCTGTTAGCTTACCAGTTTCTAGTGATACATTAGTTGACATATTTGTGATTTTCTTTGAATTTCACCTTTAATGTCCTACTGGCTCTCAGAAGACTATGTTACTATTAAAGAGTGTAAAGATGTGTAGCATATATTATTATCTTGACTTACCTGTTTTCGGACGGCTCGGAAGATGAAGGCATAAATGACCAACATGACCACTAGCGGAATATAGATGACCATCACCGCGTTAAACAGCATGTAATGCATGTGTATGATATGAACAAAGAAGCACTGGCCGTTATCGGGTTCTCCCTTGTTCCATCCGACCACGGGTAGAAACCCGACGATGGCGGCCATAATCCAACACAAGATGATGACGACGACGGCGCGGATGGGCGTCACAAAGACGTTGTAGCGCAGCGGGTAAGAGATGGCGATGTAGCGGTCCAAAGAGACGCCGACGAGGCTGAACGTCGACGCGCCGCAGAGCCAGAGGAGGAAGTTGAGCATGATGAGGCATCCGTAGAAGCTTCCATGCGGGAGCGACTCGCTGGTGAGGATGGCGAAAGGCACGCCGAGGAGTCCGACTAGGAGATCGGCGATGGCCAGGGACACGATGAAGTAGTTGGTGACCGTGTGAAGACGGGTGTTGCTGGTGTAGATGTAGAGGACGAGCCCGTTGCCGATCACGGAGAAGACGGCGATGAAGATTTCGCAGGTGATGTAGGCTACGTTTTCCATTTTTTATGATGACAAATATATTCCAGATTATGAAGTGTGTGCAATTAGTTCAAATAAATTGTCATTGTTTTGTTTTGCAACATGCGTATCATTCCATTCTTAACAGTTCCTTTTCGGGTGTTCGTTATTTTTTACCTTGTTTTAAAAAATACAATTATTCTGCTTGAAGAAAATAATTCCGTTTCTTCTCTTTACGGAGATATTTTAAATGAAGATATTTCAATCGATGAACTCATTAAATTCACGGAACAAATTATATTATCTTGCTTTTATCCTAACGAATTCAAGACGAAAAAAACGACTGCAATGTTTGTAGTGCAATGAAAAATGTACCGAAGTATCAACCGAAGTGCAGATGTAAATTCTTCAAAAAATTACTCTCCAGATTTCACCAACGCTAGGATATTGTGTAGATACAGAATGACCCAAAGAATTGCAAATTGCAAAAGAGGAAAAAATCTGACCTCCGATGCAATTTCATATTTTGCACGGCCCAGCTTTAATCAGCAACCGAAGACAAACAATTTCCATCGATCGGGTTCAAGTAAGGCTCCAAAATTAAGCACAAAAAGTATTCCACTGCGAGCAAACCTGTGCCTCCTCTTCTTGGGTCCGAAGAAGATGTGAAGTTCGTAGAGAGGAAAAAATCATTCATCTCGGTCTGTTGCCAAAATTGAAAATATTCCACATGGATCGCTGCTGAGCTGAGGCTGCTCATCTGTGCACGCGTGAAAGATGTTTGATCAGTTCGTTTTGCTGATTTGATTTTTTTCTTCTTCTCTTTCTGGCAGCCGGGACGAGTAAGAGCGAAGACTTTTTCTTGATGACGATGCGACGAACGCGGCCGTAGTTGAGTTGAAATAACAAGATATTCATCCAATACACTTCCCACAAACCGTATGAGCGTGCACGGGCATGTGTGTGTGTGCTTTTGACGACAGCTAAGCTGTGTGTTCAGCGTATTATGCGTGACCGCCGCGTTTAATAAGGGATGTTTAGGAGTCGTCGGTTGCTTGGAAAGTTAACAGGTAGAAACCGATTTTTTTTTTGGTCAGACGAAACCACTCGTCACGTGGAATGGTACTCCTGAAAAAAGTATGGTGTTTGTTTCCCGCCAATTCCACAGATCGTCTGACGCAATGTATTCTGGCCTATTTATAACACCTTCAAATGAATTGCGGTTGCAATGGAAGCAGGAAGTCACACTGTTCAACCCGCTTGTATAGCAGTGGCGGTATCGGGATTTTAACTTTTTTTGGGGGGGGGGAGGGGGGGGGGGGTCAAGTTGAGGGCCAGAATAAAATTATATAGCTGGTATGCTTAGGGCATATTGAGGGCAATTTGTATAATAGAATAAGTATTGGCGTAGCCAGCTTTTGAAAGGATATACACTTCAAGTGTTGAAGGAGGAGGAAGGGGTGCGGGTGCAACCCTTAACGATACTTTATGAATCTGTGTTTTTCGGTGGAGCGCGTAAGAGCTGATCCAGGTATCTAGCTTTCTCATCTTTACCCTAGTTATTACTGTACTGTAAGTTTGTAATATCTTATTTATTATGTTGTACTGATTCTACTGGACTGGTTTCAGTTGATAATATCAAGTGTTGGTTTCTGTGATTATTTGAACTTCAGTTTAGACTTCCTCATACTGTAATTGCATTTTTATGTCCAATCATTATTTGATCTAAATGTTTAATTTGCTGACAGCAGATTCAACCACTGAGTCTCAATGGCCTTCATTCGTATGCTGTTAATTTTTGTTTGTTTTTAGCCTTAGTTTCCCTTTCCTGTTGTAATAAAGAAACTAGAACTTAATTGCATGTAAAAACGTTCACAACTTTACATGCTAGGTCCTCTCCAAATGTATATGTTGGAAAACGAATATTATATTACCCGACGGACGCCTGTTCATGTACCTTTCAATTGCGATTGATAGAATGTGGGGACATTTACCCTAATCCAGTCCCTTCCATTGATCACGAATCCCCCGAATCCACTGTGGCTAGTACTAGGGGAAGTTGTACTAGCCTATCAAACAAGATCAAGTATGATAATTATACATTGTATAGCCTCAACTCTCTTAACAATTTCGAGTAACACAGTCTCTTTGGCCAACTATTAATCATCTTGGAATATGTCGTCATCAACGTCGAAATGGTGAAAGGTGTCGACGCCGCCAACAACGGCAAAAAGAACAGTCTTCCTCACCTGCAACGCCGAACAAGGATTGCGTGAGATTTGATCTATGTATTGCCAGGTCATTGAAGAATAAATCTCACATTTTATGTGACCTTGTTATCACAGTGACCAAGAAGAGGTTTTTCTTGTTTTGTTAGATTTTTCTTCGGCCTTTGATACCATTAAACATTGTTATTTTGTTTAAACGTTTATCAATGAGATTTGGAATATGTGGCCAAGCAATTAATTGGTGCATGCATTCATACTTGTCATAGGACAGCATGAGAAATGATCGGTCGACAAGAAATGTACCCACCCGGGGAGTGCCGCAAGGATCTGTACTAGGTCCAATGCTCTTTACATTGTGTACTTCCCCACTAGAATCTTTGATTGATGGCCATAATACATTTAAGATGTTTCATGCTGATGACACTCAATTGTATATTACATTCAAACGATTAAAATTTGTTGATGCAACCTCTCAGATTGCAAGTTGTGTTCAAGCAGTCAAATAATGGTCTCAACTAAATGGTCTTTAAAAAAAGTAGTAAGACAGATTTTCCCGGTTCAGACATACATTGGAAATCATTTTCTAGCGGGTAATTTGTTTATTTTGCAAACTCTCCCTGTTTATACATCCGTATAACCGTGATAACTAAATCAGTTCATTTGCCAAGTTTTGGGTCGCTGTGAGTTGTTTTTAGAGGTTCGCTAGATTTGATTTCATTAGATTACAGAGTGCTTAAGAATGGCGTTTATTAGATTCTTTCGTTTGAAGGAGCATTTATAAATCTGATTAGAAATATGGGATACAATCCAGTTATGAAAAAACAAACCACTTCATAAATGAAAGTTATCATTACATATATACCACCATCTTAATATTATATATATTAAAACGACTGAAATTGTTTTTTTAACAGCGATGGTTAAGGTTGAATCTATCCTATTATCCGTATTGCAAAATAATGCATTTCGCATGGTTGGGGTCGTAATTTGTTTAAACATTAGCATGCTTGAGTAATTAAGAAGAAAACAATAAAGAGGTGAAGTAGAAGAAAGGAAGAGAAAAATGACAGGAAGAAGAAGATCAACATTACGAACAACAGGTAGAAGAATAATAAGTAGGAGGAGGAGGAGGAGGAAGAAAAGGGAGAAGAAAAACAAGAAGCAAAAAAAAACAACAGAAAAAGCAGAAAAAGCAGAAGAAGAAGAAGAAGAAGAAGAAGAAGAAGGAGAAGAAGAAGGAAAGAAGAAAAAGAAGAAGGAGAAGAAGGAGAGGAAGAAGAAGGAAGAAGAATAGTTGCATACAAATTTACAAATGCTTTACACTAGTGCTCTTTAGAGCTATTAAAACTGGCGTTTATCACGTCCAACATTCCATTCATAAATCCGATTAATCGCAAAAAGAAAAAACAACAACAATTATTCACATTTTATGACAAAAAATACCTACATATATTACCCACATGTTTTAGATAAAGGAAGAAAGAAAGACACGTTTTGGAAGGAGAAACGCTCTACCACCTACGCACAAAAGAAAAACAAATCTCTCACAGTATAGTTTGTGTACAAAAGTATTCCAGTTCATCTGGGATTTGTTGAGTTACCGTAAATTGGTTTTTAGGTTGTCTACCTGAGATCATGTGATGTAAAACATGATTTACAGTCGCCTGGGAAATCTAATTTATTCCTTTCAACAGAAGATATATAATGTAATAGTCATGAAACACATGCACCACAGGTCGATGTTTTATTAAGCCCGTTGAAGAGAGGCTTTGTAACACCTCTCGCAAAACAAATCTGATTATATTCTGTTAAGGTGGGTTTCTTTTTGGGGAGTCCATCGCCGTGAATGTGCTTTTAGCTTAAATGTTAGATGTTTAATATGATTTACAGTGTGCCTGGGAATTCGCGTTTATTATGAACTTCCGTTCAACTGGACATTTAAAATGTGAAATTCATGAAACGCGGGTCGATATTTTATTAAGCCCGTTGAAGAGAGGCGTACAAACAAATCTAATTATATTCTATTATTGTGGGATATTTTTGGAAGTCGATCGCCGTGAATGTGTTCTTAGTTATATATGTTGGATGTTTAATATGATTGGCAGTGTACCTGGGAATTCGCGTTTATTATGAACTTCCGTTCAACTGGACATTTAAAATGTGAAATTCATGAAACGCGGGTCGATATTTTATTAAGCCCGTTGAAGAGAGGCGTAAAAACAAATCTAATTATATTCTATTATTGTGGGATACTTTTGGAAGTCGATCGCCATGAATATGTTTTAGCTTATTTTGGATGTTTTTTTTTATATGATTGGCAGTGTTCCTGGGAAATCACGTTTACTTTGAACTTCCGTTCAACTTGGCATTTATAATGTGATATTCATGAAACGCAGGTCGATATTTTATGAAATCTTTCTGAAGACTGCAAGACGGAATAAAAGAGGAAGAAACAGTAATAGTAGTAGAAGAAGAAGGAGACGAAACAAAAAATAGAAGAAAGAAATACATTCGCAACTTTACTCACAAACGCTGCACGACTTCCCTTTCTTTGGCACAATAACTGAGTTATATGAGATGACGCCCTCAGGGATATTAATAAATTATACGTTCATTAACCCCCCTTTTTTAATTTCAATTTCAATTTATTTATGTTTCCCAAAAAATAAATTGTATTGTTATTTATAGAAAGATATGATGTTCTAAATCCAATTACTTTCTTGTATCTGTACGCTAAATGTCAATCACTCTCTTAAAAGTTATTCATTATTTCACTGTATTGTTGAGAATTATGTCACATAATTGTCATAACATTGACGTGTTTACAGCAACTTGTCAGTACCATGGTTTCATAAAAGGCTTGTATTTTGACTGAAATTATAATTTGATTAACAAGTCAAGACACCGATCTCTGAAATACAGGCCGGATAAAGTGGAAATGTTTCTTCTTTTGATGTAGCAAATGCGATTAACATACAGTAACTAACATTCCTTTTACAAATGGAAAATACACTGACGTCACAATGCGTTGAGTCAATTCCCACAGTAAACATCATTCGCAATCATGAGCACGATAGTTATGAAAATACTATTGCATTATTTCATGTTTGTGCTGCTTCGATAAAGTGTTCTCCTCTTTTGCTGTTGATATGAAAGGATGAGGGAGGAATGACATCTGCATTGGAAGGCTGTTCATAAATCCTTTGAGACCAGTCTACAAGAGAGTTCAATAAAACATTTTTTTGAGTATAAGGTGACTTATCCCAGGGGTCTTGCAGACGGAAAGCTACGGGCATATTCCTTTCTTTTCAAAGGAAATGCGCACACCTGCGAGTATGAGGAAGGAAAGTAAGAAACAAGGGGATCAAGCTTTGTTGAGGATATAATGTTTTGTCAAAGATCTCAAATGACGTTTTGTGCCATGGCTGGGATTTGATCTGAATCAATAATTAAGCCGGACAGAATGGTGTCACATACACGGCTACATCGAGAAACCATTCTGGCGATATGGAATGTGTAAAGAATTGGTAAAGGTGGTAACAGTCTGCATGATGCCTTTGTTGATATCACACAATGCAATTAAATATACACTTATAATAAATATTGCTGTATAGACTTTGTGGGGAAAGGGCGATATCTATGGCCTTAATAGTCTTCATTCGGGATA